CAAAATTTTCTAAAAAAACAAAACTTATAACTTAACAATCTCTACTCCTAAAAAAATAATTACACAAACTTAATATTCAACTAATATAGATACTTATATTATGAGATAGTTCTTACAAAATTACTCACTTTTTTCATGCATCTCATAAATTTTCTTATTTTAATTTTATTAAAAAAGTTTTTTCAACCTTTCTATTTCTAATAGTAATAATAGCAATTATTTAAATTAGATATTTATAAAAAATAAAAAATATAATGTCATATCTGATAACTTTTAGAGAAACATAGATACAAATAGAAAAACTTTATTTATAAATAGTATCATCTTAATATTTAAATTGTACTAAATCTTTCTTTTCTATACTGGTATTATAATAAATAATAAAAAAAATAAAAAAAAATAAAAAAATAAAAAAAAATCATAATGTAATTTAGATTTATAGGTGCTGTTAGAAAAATACTACCTCTGCTTAAATACTTAAATTTTTCTTAGATAAAAACTAAGAAAAGCTTCAAAAATACGAATACTATTTGTTATAAACTAATAAAGTCTAATAAGATAAAAAATAGTATCACTCTACTCTAAAGTATATAGTATAGAAGTTATAAGCATACTATTATAGCATACTAATAGTAGCATACCAGTAGGCATGTCTAAATTAAATTAATTAATAAGTATACTACTTATATAAGAAGAGCTAATTTTAATAGAAAACTCCAAAAAGCTTTAAATAAAAAATGAGAAATTTTAGAAAAATTTTCAAAAATTTCTGAATACAATCAATTCAATTCAATATATAATTATATTATGACATGCCTATAGTATGATATAGGCATGAATTTTAGCTGATAGCATGCTATATGGTATGCAAATTTTTTAGTTATGCCACACATCTTACTCTACTCATAATTATACTACTTGTATTATTTACTGCATTTTTGTATTTAATTTGTCTTTTAAGAAAGATGATCTTGATATATGAACTTACAAGAAGAGTTTGTATCTGCTAAAAAGAAATTATTTAAGTTCTTCTGATAAAGTTTTGATAATATCTAATATAATATTTAATAAATTGAATTTAAATTATTTAATTAAACTAACCTTAATTATTACTTTATTTAGCAAGTTTTTTAATACACATATAGAGTTTATTACTCTACTTTGAAACAATAATAACAGGTGAGGCTTATAAGCTTTTTGATTTTTGTATTAATACTTGTTTTTCTATCATCACTAACTCTACTCCTGTTCATCTAAGGATGTTCAATAGAAATATTATTGTTTACTTAGTAGGTTGTTATATCAGTCTGGCCTAAGATATTGAGAAAACTTGACTTTATAACTGAAAAATTCTCAGGCTTTTTCTTTTTCCTCTTTAGTTAAAATCTTGTTTTCTATTAGTTTATCTAGTTTTTCAGTGGTTTATTTTCTTTATTCTGTGTAAAAAAACTCTTCTATTGATATTAGGTATAGAGATAGATAATTTTAAGACCAAAATTTTTTTGGTTTAAAGAATTTAACTTTTCTTTTATTGCTCTTAATTTTAAATTTTGCAGTAGTAATTCTATATTCTATGTCAACATTGATTAGATAATCTGCATATACTCTATATCAAAAAGCATCACATTAAATTACCTTTAATTTAATAGTCAAAAGTATCAAATTGACATTATAACATATTCTTGGTAAATTAATATTGCTAGACTAACTTTGGTTTCTAGAGGTTAGTGTAGATATTCAAGTTTTCTTTAGATGATTTCAAGGTAAATATATTTCTGCTTCATTAAATTCTTCATCCTTATATGTAAATTCATTAATCATCAATTTTAATATCCTATTTATCTTCTTTTTTATTTTTTTAGAGATATATTGTCAGTATAGAAAATCAGAACTTTAATTATTTGGCCTTGATACTTAAGGATTAGTCATTGCTCATCAAAGTAGAGTTTTGCTTAAGCTTTTTAGAACTAATCCGTTCCTAGTAGCAAGGTTACATTGAAGAACTTGATAACTTGGACTGTACTTAGGATTATATTATCTTGGATTATTATTTTTAAGTCCTTAATCTTCTCTAATACTCTTGTTTTAGCTCCTATAGCTGTAATCATAACCATAGATGACTTTTCTTAGATCCTTAGTTCTAGTTTATTTACTAGCTTTTTTAGTTATTATACTTATAGTAGCACTAGAGTCTAGTATAGAACTATTGAATTTTCTTTTATTCAGATGTAACAACTAGTTGCTTTATTGCATTTATGTTGCTTCTTGAGCTTGAGATAATAATTTCTTTAAGATCTTAGCCAAATTCTGCCTTTGATTCAGATATTGGAGCATTTGGCCAATAGTCTGTAAGCTAGAGCATTCAAAATGTCTTCAGCAACATTATATAGGGCAAGTTTATTGATAATAGATAGTTCTCTCTTTCTACTTAGTCTTTTCTCTGGCATGAACATATCCTAGTTCATTATATCTTAAGTTTTATTTACTGATATTAACTGGGGCTCAGAAGGTTTGGTTTGTTCTTTAGTGATTTTCTCATTTTGATTCTGCTTTGCCTTGAGGCTTCTTGCAGTTACACTCCCTTCATAAGGTTGGTATCTTTGTTCATTCAAAGTGTAACTTCATCTTGTTCTGCTCACAAATTATCATCACTATCTTAGTTAGTGTCTTTTCTCATGTAGTTACTAACTCTTTTAACTTCATTGTTTCTTCAAAGTCTTTCAGAAATGTGATATTAATATATTTTACTACAGTTGTAACATGTAGTAATATGCCATTTATATGATACTTGAATTTTTTCGAGTGCAGTATATATAGTACTGTTATACTCAGAAAACTACATAGAATTTTGATATGGTATTCGATCTCACCATCAAGAGATAATCACTATTGTAACCAATATGTTTAAAATGATTATCCTATTTGGCCTTTTATAAGATATTCTTATATAGATATCAGTATTTCTATTATTAGCTAGTTTTTATTATACTTATATCATTACCTTAATTAGATCGCCCTATATTTCCAAATTGATTTTATATAGTTATGACTACTAAATTAGATAATTATTAAAATAGTATCAGATACATTCATTCAAAAACCTATTAAAATAATATTAAAGATTAATTTAGAATAATTAGAATTAGAAATGAAAATGTAAGATAAAATGTAAATCGTTAATGATAGTTCTCTATATAAGATCTCTAAAAATATCTTCAATAAAGATAGTTCATTTTCAGTTCTTGATAACTCGAATATAACTCAAACGTTAGAATAGAGTTGAAATAATTCTAGAACTGTGAAGGGACTTCACAATTGATTAATTATAAATTGATAAATTGTATAATGACTTTTTGTATCTTTATATACAACTAATCGTTTGTCTCTTTTGTTACTACAAAATACTTTAAATCCTATTCAATGCTTAACAACAATATATATTTTTACTTAGCATAAAACTGATATTCATATCATCTTATCGATAATCACAATATATATATAGCTATAGTAAACTGTCAACTAGAACTTTGAATAGGTAAAATTCACATGTGACAATTAGTAGTAACTGTGAGATAAGAATTCTTAACAAGAACCAAAGAAATTTTGAGTAGAAATTCAAGAGATTCGAATTTATAGAGAATAATTAGAATATTAAATCAGAGATTCGATAATAAACAAAGTTTTCCATGAGCCAAAGTGTAGGCATAAGAAATGGTTATTACATAACTGTATATAGCATATTTGCCTATAAGAATCAACAACATGACTACTAACATACTTTACAACCTAATACTTCCAAACTAGGAGACAACTAATATAAACTCTTCCTAACTATTCATGTATTAATTGTTTTTCAGTACAAAGACAACTGTCAGACCAGTTTAACATCTTTTGGAATTGGTTTACTATAGAATACCCTGTTAGTAACTATACTATAGTTACCTTAGAACTATTCAGAAGAATAATTCAAAGCTTAAACCTCTTAGAAGAATACTTCCAAGCTATAATTCTCACCTTTAAATACGGATCTGAAGTCAATTTTAAAACATTAGCCCATCGGCTTATACAAGCACATATTCTAACTAACCACTTCTGAATAGATCCATTTACAACATTATATAGTTACAGTGAGACTACGTCTGTAGTAAACTCAGAAGGATCCTTAGCCTCAGATTTAGACTCTAACTATAATTTAGATACTTTGTTCCAAACCCCATTAGTAACACCTATTCACCAAAACACAAATATAGCTAATGCACAAGATGTTTTAGATTATTTACAAAATAATCAGAAAGAAAATACTTTATTATGGATAGAGCAATTTACAAGAGATGAAACCCAAGATTCTTAGATATAGCTCAATAGCTTTAAGAAAACCACCACAGCTAATAATTAGAGTATAAGAAAGAAAAGAGAAATTCTCTTGGCCTATATGCGAGATAATACTGACAAATAGTAGCAGACCTACTTTACTGCTAATAATACTATAAACAATAAGGTCAATGATAGGACTGCTACTGCTAATGCACTTAAGGTCCAATTTTATACATAGCAATAGAATAATAAGTGGTATAGAGATCTTGATAACTTAAAACAAAACCTTGGAGAATCTGTAGATAGCTATTATAGTAGATTTAAAAGATTAATTAAATGAGTAGAAATAGGAGAAAATGTTCTAGACACCCAAAAATTATACTATTTTAAAAAAGAACTCAGACTCAATATGCTTTCCATTATCTTAATGCATAATCCTGTAAATCTAAATAATATCCTTAATCTTGCTAGAACTCACGAACAAGGAACTGATTTTGCTAATAATACTAATTTTACGATACCAAATAGTCCTAGAATATATAAAAAAGATATCAAATTCCTAACCCAACAAATGCAACAATTATTTATAAATTATTCTACAATCGTATCTGCATTAATAGCCCAAACAATATCAAGACTATCGAAACTATATAGGCAAACAAACATATCTATAACATGTTATAAGTATGGTAAAATCAGTCACTACGCATGAAATTGTTTGTCAGAAAAGAAGCAATTTAATCAAAAAAAAGACTAACAAACCTATCAGCCAAAACTGAATAGCAATTGGGATATCAACTATGCTAAAACAGAGGAAACTGAAGACTACGAAGAATATTATGATAAAGAACCTGTTTATGTTTCTCAAAATTCTAGACTCTGCTCTTATTCTATAAAAAAAAAAGAAGCAAGACAAAAACAGTCAGAATCACAAAAAGAACATATCTTAAGGAGCAACCCAAAAATCAGTAAGAATTGAAGAAGAAGAAATACTGATAGAAGTAACCCCGTTAGAACCAAACTCCTCTAGAACAATAGTAAAAAAAAGGTTACCATCAGTAATTGATCAATTAGAGCTATACGATATATCAAATGATATACTTAACACAAAAGCTCAAATAACATTAGCCCAAGCATTACAGTATCCGAACCAAAGACAAAATCTAGCAAAGATATTAAGACAGAAGAAACCTCTAATCACTGAAGCTAACAATATAGAGACTAAATAGCATAAGAAGACTGTAGCAATGAGATGTCATATAAAGATTAAAGGAACTCCTGTTGTTGCTATTCTAAATTCAGGAGCCGCAGTAAGTATTTTTACTGAAAGGCTAATGAGAAAATTAGATCTCACATCAACAAAAAGATCAAAAACTATTGTAGTAACTGCAAATAGTGAGTAAGCTAAAGTATTAGAAGTAGTTGAAAATATGAAACTAGTCCTCCAAGATATAGTAATACCAATAGACTTACAAGTAATTAAGTCTATGGATAAGGTACTGTTATTAGGCACAGATTGGTTTACAAAGTCTTGTGCAACCTTAGACTTTGGAAAACATATACTACACATTAGATATCTAGTTAAGCAAGCAACTATTAACACTATACATACTTGGAATGAACCTATCAACGATTTCGAAGATGATAACAAGGAAGACTAATAGATTGATGAACTAGAGGAGGAATCAGAATACTTCCTTTCTAATAAAATAGATACAGATTTTTGGAATAACCTGTATTATAACCCTTGGAAAAAAATCCAGAAAAGGAAAAAGAAGAGAATCCCACAACCTATTTAGCTGATATGCTAGAAAATAAAGAAATAGAAGTTAGTATAGACTAAGAGCTTACTGATAGTCAAAAAGAGATAGCTGAAAAACTATTATTAAAAAATTATGATATCTTTGCAACCAATATTTTAAAAGAAGAACAAACTATGGTTTTAGGATATACAAATCAGATATATCATCATATTAATATGAGTGATGCAAAACCAGTTTAACAAAAACCCTACAGGATACTACCAGATGATCAAGAATTCCTTAAAAAAGAGATAAAAAAAATGGAAGAACTTAAAGTAATCTGAATCTCAGAGGGACTATGGAGTTTCTCAATAGTGTTAGTCCTAAAGAAGAATGGTAAGAAAAGGCTCTGTATTGATTACTAAAAGTTAAATTCAGTAACAAAAAAAAACGTATACCCCCTTTCAAATATCAATGAAGTATTAGATAGTTTTGGAAGAGCAAAGTGGTTCACAAGCTTAGATTTAGCTAGTGGTTACTGGTAAGTAGCTATGTCTGAAAAAGATAAAAAGAAAACAGCATTTATTACAAAGTTTGGCACTTACAAGTTTAATGTAATGCCTTTCAGACTATGTAATGCTCAGCAACATTTCAGTGATTAATAGATACTATATTATATGAGTTCATAGGAAAATTCATTGTAGTATACTTAGACAATATTACAATCTATTCAGACACCTTCAAGGAATATGTAAAACATGTACAACAAGTATTTGATACATTAAGGGAAGCTAATTTAAAACTAAACTTAGAAAAATGTTTCTTCTTCTTACCTAATATAAAGTTCCTAGGCTATGTAGTTAGAAGAGATGGTTTATGATCTGACGAAGAAAAAATTAAAAAAATAAAAGATTTCACTATACCTACTAGTATTAGGCAAATACAAAGATTTATAGGATTAATATCATATTACAGAAAGTTTATTAAAGGCTTCTCCAAAATAGCCAAACCTTTAAACCAACTTCTAAAAAAAGATGAACCCTATGTTTGAACTGATATTCAAAATCAGACTTTCAAAACTTTAAAAAATTATTTAATATCAGCTCCAATTTTACAATCTGATTTTGATAGTCTATTCTATATCTATGCTAATGCTTCTATTTCAGGATTAGGTACTATCCTCACCCAAATTGATCAAGCAAAAAGAGAGTATATAATATCATATATGAGTAGAAGCTTATACAAAGCTGAACAAAATTATTCAGCAACTGAATTAGAATGTTTAGCTGCTGTATGGGCAGTAGAATACTTCTATCAATACATTAGTAGTAATCACCTTTATTTAGTTACTGACTATGCTGTATTAAAATAGCTAAAAATATCAGAATTAAAAGGTAAAAGGGCTCAATAGATATTAAGGTTAGAACCTTACAACTTCACGATTATTCATAAGTACAGAAAAACTTATAGAAATACTAATACTCTATCTTGAATGTATGAAATAAACCTTATAGAAACCAATAGTGATCAGCTATCAGAATCTAATAATAATGAAGAATTTATAGAAATATATACAGCTAAATTAGATGAGGAGCACCCTAATACAGAAAAAGAAATGTTAAAAATTATTACAGAAATATTGCAATATAACTCACCTGTTTATAGTATAAGATATATTAAACCTTATCAGAATCTAGAAATTACTTCAAGAGGAATCAGCTATGGAACTTCAACAAGTTAATGGTATCATATAGAACATATTATTAAAAAACTAAATCAGAAGGATAAAAATAAAAGATATTACTATGATTATAAGGGTTCAAGTGCTCAGTGTTGGTGTGATGACAAATTATATTCTCCAAGTGATGAATATATAACCTGCTACCTTGATTTAAAGCTATAGGTATCAGTAAAAACCTATCTGATTAAAGAAATAGCTCAATGTTATTAGCTGACTCCTAAAAATGAAGAAAATGAAACTAATCATAAGCAACAACCTACTTTTAATGACAAGAAAAATCTTATAGATGACACTGAATTGGAGAATTAAGATGAATATATATCTCCAAGAACTTATCTTTTAAGTAATTATGATCTAGATGAAAATATTAATATACTTAAATAGAAAACAGATAATAATTAGAGTAATGAAGATCTTATAGAAAGTTATCGATCTATATTAGTAAATATACTATAGTGATTGTCTTTATTAGAAACCTTATCTATACAACATTATTAGGAATTTCATAATTTTTCCAATACTTATCTCTGTAATATGGTATAGTGGAAAGTTGTAAATTCTATTACTTATAATTAAACCTGTATAAACCTGCCCTAAAATAGTCCACAAAAAACTATAAATCTTGCAAATCGGTTACTGCTACTGAACAACCTAAAAACAAATAATTAGTTAACTCAAAATTAAAAATTAGTAAAAACATACCAAACCTCAAGTTTTGTTAGAAAAGTAAAGTACTCTGATCACGTGATAATCGTGAAGAATCTTCACGATCATTATTACTATTGAAAAAAAAAAAATTTTTTTGGAAATAATAGAACCTACCAAATATAATCAATTGAAGCTTTACCTAGAAACAGCCCAATATCCTCCAGATATTACTACTCATACCAAACGATGAATAACAGCACAAAGTAAAAACTTTATTCTATATAAAGGACAGTTATTTAAACAAAGAATGAAGAATAATTATCTACTATGCGTTATCCAAACTTACGAAGTAGAACTGATTTTATATCTATTTCATAACTATCCAACTGGTACTTATTTAGAAGTAGATAAAGTTGTGGATAAAATCAAATCACAGTACTACTGGCCACAAATATATGATTACATACGGGAGTATATAAAAACTTATAATGCTTGCCAGAAATATGGAAAATATTGAATTCCAAGAATATTACAACCTATACCTGTTGAATCTCCATTCTATAGAATTGTGATTAATTATGTTAGACCACTACTAACCTCTGAAAAGGGAAACTAATATATAATTGTGACAACTGATTATTTAACTAAGTGGCCAAAAGCAAGAGCTATACTGATTGCGAATTCACAACATATATTGACTTTATATATGAGGAGATTTTTTGTTGACATGAAGCTCCTGTCTATCTACAGACCAATAGAGGAAAACATTTCGATAATACGATTGTAAAAGAATTAACTCAGAAATTTGAGATCAAACACCTGTTATCCACTTTGTATTATCCACAGACAAATGGTCTAGTAGAACAATTCAATCGAACTCTGTGTGAATTATTTGTGAAATTAGATGAAAAAGGAAATTAATGGGATATATTAATACCTTCAGTCCTATTTGCTTACCAAACTGCTAAACAATTGACTACAAAATTTATATCATTTATGCTTACTTATAGTCATGAAGCTTATTTTTCTATATTTAAACCAGAATTAATTGAAGAAAACATGTTGACCTGACTCTTTGATCTTATTAAAGAATTACCAAAGAATAAAGAAAGAGCTAAACTAAACATAGTCAAATCCCAAAATAGACAACGATTTTATTGAAATAAGAAAAACAAAAAGGTTAGACAACTATTTAAAGAAAACGATCGAGTACTATTATATTATATGACCGTTAGTAAAAGTTTTTCAAAGAAATTTTTGCTGAAATGGAAAGGTTCATATTATATATACTATAAAGTAGCGCAAGACATATATAAACTCCATACTATAAGTAGACATATAATGGAAACACCGATAAATATATTGTTACTTAAGCCATATTATGCAAAAGAATAATAAACTAGTTTTATTCATGAAACTCATAAATAAGTAAGGAGGAATGTTACGCTCAGAAAACTACATAGAATTCTGATATGGTATTCGACCTCACCATCTAGTGATAATCACTATTGTAACCAATATGTTTAAAATGATTATCCTATTTGGCCTTTTATAAGATCTCCTTATATAGATATCAGTATTTCTATTATTAGCTAGTTTTTATTATACTTATATCATTACCTTAATTAGATCGCCCTA